GTTCTCTAGAAAAAATCAGATTAGAGAGCTAGTACCTAGACCTAAGAATAAATCGATCGTTGATTGCAAATGAGTCTTTAAGGTTAAGGAAAGTACCAGTAGCTCGGAACCCTTAAGGTTTAAGGCTATGTTAGTGGCTAAGGATTACACACAAAAGGAGGGTGTTGACTATAATGAGATTTTCTCACTAGCTGTTAAGTACACTACTATTAAGGTCATGCTTGCATTGGTTGCGCATTTTGACTGAAAACTTGAACAACTTGATATAAAAACTGTTTTTTTACATGGTGAGCTTGACGAACAAATCCTTATGAATCAACCAAAATGTTTTAAGTACAAGTTAAAATCTGATTATGTGTATTTTCTGAAAAGATCTCTTATGGTTTAAAACAATCACCTAGAAAGTGGTACAAGAGGTTTGATTCCTTTGTACTCACTATAGGGTTCCAAAGAAGTAAATTTGATCACTGTTTGTATTTTCAACACAACGAGACTGATAATAATTATTTGTTTTGTCGCTCTATGTGGACGACATGCTTTTGGTTGGTTCTTCTCCTAAGTGGATAAACAATATAAAAGCAAAGCTAAGTGATGAATTTGACATGAAACACCTAGGTAAAGTTAAGAGAATTCTAGACATGAAAATAGAAAGAAATAGGCCAAATTCTATCTTATTTTTACATCAGTCTCCATATATATCTAAGATGTTGAAGAAATTTAATATGAGTGATTGCAAACCTGTCATGTTGCCTCTTGCTAATCATTTTGTTTTATCTAAAGAACAACCTCCTTGCAGTAAACGTGAAATAGAATATATGAGTAGAATTCCATATTCTAATGTGATTGGTTCCATTATGTATTTGATGGTTTGCACTAGATCGGATTTAGGTTTTGCTGTTAGTACTCTCAATAGGTACATGTCTAATTCGGGTCCTGAACATTGAAAAGTACTAAAGTGGCTATATGCTGGAGATAGGGATGGTAGGAAATCGACTTCCTCTTGCGTGTTTACCTTATCTAATTCATGTGTTAGTTGGAAATCACAATTACAACACATTATTGCACTATCCAGAGTCATAATATATTGCTACCACTGAAGTAATTAAAGAGGCTCTATGGTTTAGAGGTCTACTTCATGAACTATGTGTCTTGAATGATTATGTGGTGTGTACTCTAATAGTCAGTCGTCTATATATTTATGCAAGAATCTTGTTTTTTACGAACGCACTAAACACATTGATGTCAGACTACACTTTATTAAAGATATAGTATTTCAAGAGGTGGTAAGACTTGAAAAAGTTCACACACAATACAACCTTTCAGATATGGGCACTAAAGTGTTGCCACTGGTAAAGTTTAGAAGCTGGAAGGATCTTCTAAATATTGGTACAGTTAAATGATCTCCAATTTTATTGGTTCTTTGTTAGAAGTGTCACTAACGGGAAACATTTTTCTTTTGTAGGTCCTTTGACATCAAGGTGGATGTTGTTAGGTAATTTGTTGTCAAACGACCTCTCAGGCGATGATGTAAACTCGGTTTTATTTAATTTCAGTCGACCTTGACCATATAACTGAACGATATGTCAACACCACCATCGAGACGACCCAACCTACTTTTATACGGATCATTAGAAGTAACCTATTTTAATAGTGTTGTTCGTGGCCCGTCCCATTTACTTGGAAGGCTACAATATCCATTTGGAGCCCATTATTTTTGTGTTAGGCCTTTTGGGCTACAAATGTTAAACTACTAACTTATCTTATTTGGTCTCTTACTTGGGCTATAACTCTCGGTCTCTTTATGCCTCCAAGAAGTCATCTTCTCTGCCTCTCTTTGTGATCCCGTCTCTGCTCATTCTCTGCCTCTCTCTCTTGTGCAACCTATGTGGTTTCTCTTGGATGATATTACTCTCATCTTGGTCGTCTCTTTGTGGGTATGAATAGCAACCGTGAGTGGAAAGAAGAAAAGAGAAAGTTGGGTGTGTCTCACGTGTGGTGGTGTTGATTTGGTTGGAGACTGAGCCTGGTATCATCTTGGTATTGCTGGATTTTCGCTTAACAAGTTTGAGAAAAAAAAAACTTTATTTTAATAATTGTCATCCAATAAGGATGTAATATTATTTTCAACAACGTCTCGTCATCCACAACACATGTAATTAAGAACACAAAGTAATAAATCATCTCTCTCATGTCAACAAAAATATTTTTTATAAAATATGAAAATTTAATTCACCTAAATTGGATTAAACGCAACCTAAACACCAAAAATAATTAATAACATTTAATAATGTTCAATAAAAGATATAAAATATTTTAAACATTACTCCACATATCAACTGTTATAGTAGTCCTCCATGCATTAGAATTCTCTCTCTCTCTCTCTCTCTTACTTTAAAAAAATTGTCAAAGTCTCCTCTTCGTTAGCTGATGAAGATTACGAAACTTCATTATCAGGTTCAACTAGAAATTCATCATAATGGTAATATTTGTGAAGAAAATTGGGTAATCCTACACAAGCCAATGCTAGCTCCACTTGTGTACAATGGTGGAGCTATTTTCAAGATATTGAACCATTATTTAAATAAACCAAATATCATCTTAACTACGTTACTCAAGGAAGCATGACGAAAATTAAACAACTCCTTTACATTTTACGTGTTATGACCTTGATCAACAAAATCTTGAAGATGATAACGAACACCTTCAAAAGGAACTAATAATGAATGTCAATTTCAAAATCCACAATCTACCAAAAAATTATTTGCTTGAGCATAAAATACTTATAGAATTACCAACTTATAATATGTATAGTCATGATTATTATGAGCAACATCTCTCATAATGATGATTACCAGGAATTGGATTTCCTCGGCCCGTGTCTCTGAGGTAGGCGCTAAGGAGGCTTGTATTTCTTAGGCCGCGAAGAGGTTGAGAAGGACAAGTTTGTTGTAATTGAAGCTGGAGGAATCTAGCTTCTCTATTTAAAGGTGAGACAGACAGGTTTTTCCGATGGTGAGATAGTGATGGCGATGGTTGTGATAACTACAACGGCGACAGTGGTGCTGGTGTGGTCGTGGAGATGGCTATGGTAATTTTAAATTTTATTTTTTGGTGGTGTTTATGTGGTGGTAGCATATCTGTGCTATTGTGGTGATGGCGGTGGATTTGGAGATTAAGTTGCGGTGGTGGTACAGGTGGTTGATGGCATTGAGACATTGGTTTTGGTTGTTGAAGTGGTGATGGTGGTAGCATCTCTATGGTGGCTATGGCAATCGATCGTGGTGGTTGTGGGAGTGAGTTTTGTGATGATGGTAAGATGTTGGTGGCGATGGGTTTGTCGGGGTGTTGGTGGATCTGGCATGACGATATGGTGGTATTTTTCTACAATGTGTTGATTTGTTTGAGGTGGCAGGGTGGTGGTTCTAGCCATGACGGTGGTGGTGGTGGTGTTGTTGGAGACAGTGGTGAGGTGGCGTTCGCAAGTGTTGGTGGTGGTCACAAATTATTTAGTTGATTGTAACTATTAAATTAGTTAATCTGTGACCAATGAAAGAGATAAATTGTGACAAAAAATAATGTGTGACCTAAAAAATTGTAAATTTGTGATCAATAATTTGATAATTTATGACTGTCTAATTTGACAGTTTGTGACTATTTAATAAGTTGTGATTTATAATATTTGTGATTTCTGACCAATAAATAAATTGTGACATAATTTTTTAATTTATGATCAATGAACAAATCATGACCTATAAATTTTTTGAATTGTCACCGCAAAATAATTTGCGACATATAAAAATTTTGATTTGTGACGAAAAAAATAATATGTGACTTACGAAATTCTTAACGATCAAATTATTGTGACTTTAATATATTTAATTAATAAAATATATAATTAATTAATTAAATCAAAATAAATTTTAATAAGCACTTGATTTTTTAAATTTGAAACATTTGTTTTTCTTTTTGAAATATGTGATACTTAAACTCTTAGTTATAATTTTTTTTCGAAAATATTTATCTCTACAATAAAGCTGGTTGTACAGGGCTGAGCCCTACACCTATAGAAAGGCGCCACAGCGCCCTTGGTAGTACAATGCCCATGTGGTCCTTTACAACCAACAAAGCCCTTATCTCCGAGTTCTGCTACTAAAACATGAACTTTTCATAGGGGCCAGTTGTGCCCTGGTAAAATAGTAAATCTCATTTTTGAGTAAACGAGGTCAATTTTGGCACCTACGTATTGTTCATTTGCTTTAATGTGATTCTTGACTTAGCCTCAGAAGCAAGATATTTGCATGGTCACAAACTCGATAACAATAGGAGGAGATCATTATTTAATATCTAAATGCCACGATTTGTTATGGAGGTTGAAGGAAGTTGTAGGTTATAATTCCAAGTTCAAACAATTTCTTATTGTCGACTTTAAAATCTTACTGGCAGGGTCAACCCACAAAGTCGACCCACGACCCTTTTTTTTTTTTTTTCAAAATTTTCCACTAACATATAATGGACTTGATCCAAACTATATATATAAAAAAATATCACATGTTAGATCATTCTCAAGATTCTATCTCAAACAGATTTATATGATAATTAGTAGATCATGCAATCAACGAATACATATTAGAGTTCACGGTATTATAAATATGTTATAGATATATAATAGTTTTATTAGAGGAACATCACATCATGTATACCTCAAAGTCATTTTTTAACACTAACTTTAACACTAAGTCAAGTATTTTCAATTCATCGCATATTTATGGATTATACTTGAACTCCACTTGTGTGTCCTTATATTAATTGTGTTCTAAGCCATAAATGGTTAAACAATTGTTCGGACCGTGAATACAAATAGAGATGTTGGTTAAAATGGTTTCCCTTTCCTGCTCGAATCTTTCAACTTTAAATTAGCTACTTTCCTAGATATGTTACATCAAAATAAATCATAGTTACTAGCAAAATGTTAAAGTAGCAATACTTAAATAAAATCTAGAGAAATAGTCAAATATTATATTTATGAGGTTATATAAATGATTAAGAAGGTAGTGAAATAATAAATAAAAACAAACAATTTCATAATTTTCATGACCATAATTTATTGATCAAGGAAGCTCGACTTATTAATTTATTCCAACAGGGATCTCATTTTCTGTACAAAACCATGGATATAAGAATCCCCGAGTCCTTTGCTCAACAAGAAATCCCTCAATTTATCATGGTTTCTTTTCACCTCCTTCCCAATTTCATTGTCAACTTCCATCACAGCTCTTATGGCTTCATTCACGCCCTTCTTTGTAAACAAGCCATCTTCATCTCCTTTCTCGACTTCGACTCCAACTTTTAGATGTGCACTAAGAACTTTGGCCTGAATGTAATGTTCGCCTACATGGGGCAGTACCACCAATTGACACGCGCTCACCAGACCCTCCCATAGAGACGCGTACCCACCATGCGTAACAAAACACCCCACAGAAGGGTGTTTTAAGATCAGTTGCTGTTGAACCCAACCTCCATACACCACCCCTTTTTCTTGAGTTCTCTCTTTGAGTCCCTCAGGTAAGGCTTCTTCCACTGTATCCGACCCAAAAGGTGGTTTCAGTGCGGCGAAAAAGGGATGACCTGAGCGTTCCAAACCCAACACCAATTCTTGAAATTGATCCTTTTGAAGTATGGCTTCACTCCCAAATGCACAGTAAATCACGCTTTTGGGTCTGAATTTGTCAAGCCATCTTTCCCACTTCTCCTCTAGAAAAGACGATGGTGATTTAGGAACAATTGGCCCCGCAAGTAAGACTGGCTTCTTGAAGTTATTTTCAATATATTCAATGTACGGCCCTTCAGTTTCTCTACAAGTCTTGAAACCAATGGCATCACTCTCACAAATTGAGGTCCTCAACCGCTGTTTTATTGTCAACCCACTGCCTACTTCCTTTTCACTGTCAAAAACCTCAAGTCTGCGGATGACATGTTTATAGAGCTTGATCGATGGAGGAAAACCAGGAGGATTGTTCATATGAGACTCCATCGAGGGTCTTTCGGATAACAAGAAACCCATGGATGCAGGGCTTACGGGGGCATAGTGAATTGCTTTGATGCCTAAACGATGAGCCAAAAAGGGCACCCAACACATCATATCTGAGAAGGTGAAATGGGGTTTGATTTCTTGGAGTAGAGATTCAACTGTGGGTTCTGTAAGATCCATAGCATACCGAAGTAAAGGCTGCAAGTGAATAGGAATTTCCGTGCTGGATTCAATGTGAGGCGGGAGGCCTTCAACATGGGGAAGGGGGAGGGGTATCAATTTGATGAAGTCCGGATGAAGATTGGATTTTTCCAAATTGGATAGTGTTTTAGGAGGGACGACAAGGAAAACTCTATGGCCTCTGGCTGCAAGTTTGTTGGCTGTATGAAGGTAAGGGATGAGATGACCCATGGCAAACCATGGATACATGAAAATGGTAAGAGAATTATCAGCCATTATTGATTCTTTGGTTTCTGCCAAGTTTTCATCACAAAATAAGCTCTTCTGGAACCAAAAGGAGGATGTAAAACACTCTGGTAGATAAAGATCAATTCGAGAAAAATCTGCAGTTGTGGTTACTCATTTATATAGAGCTTGTTGCAACAAATCTTCAGGTAAATAGGCAAAGAGAGAAATTAATGCAACTGAGAGGAAGAACTTTGTCTCTTTAAAAGTAACTTTTCGACTAGTTGGCGAATGGGTAGGGAAATTAACATGGTAATTTCAACTTTGTCTCTTTATATAAATTGTTCTCTTTTTTCACACCTATTTTTGTTGTTAGGATTTTTACCAATCTCCCATGTCCCAGGAAACAATGATCATATCATATTTGCAATGACAGGAAAAGAAACTCAGCAATGGCAGAATATAAAACAAGCAAAGAATCAGATTATGGACTCAAGAATTGCTTGTTTTCTGGAACAATTTTCATCAACCATTGCAGGGAATTTACCCCCAGTCAATCTGCCATTCAAGAGGAATATTACATAGTGTTTATCTTACCCAAAACACCACTACTCACCACCCAACCGGGAATAACCAGAAAGCTCCCAGAAAGTTTACAAGGACTTGTGTTACAGAGAATTCTATCTCACACTACCTTACTTTCTCTATCTACAAATATCCCCCTCTTGCTCACACTTCCCTTATACAGCCCTCTATCCTATTTATAGACAAAGGAATGTAGAGATTTACAAGAAAATACATCTACTATTCAGCTACAACAACTACCAGAAAATTAGTTAGAACAAAAGGCTCCTAACTGATTTTCTAACTCACTAACTAATCCAACTAATGAGTTTAATAACCGAATCAAGAATCAATATTTTCTCTACAATTGTAATCATAATCGATCAAACATACTTTTCATTTGCACATGAGACATAGGTGCTATCCACTTATTCACTACTCATATTTGTCTATCTATTAAATAAACTGGTTATAATCCTTTCCTAAACAAGAGCTTAGATAATACTTCAAGAAGAGGAATCCAAGTTAAATCAAATTAATTTCATTCTAAAATAAACCCCTAAGCTTTATTTTTACTTTTCAATGTGGTGACTTGGTTAAAAATCCGTTAGTTTTTCTAACAAAATTTCCAACTTGAATTGTCCTTAAACTGTTAACTGTCATGTCGGCAGATGACAGTAAATCAGAAATAGCGTTATTGGTAGAGCTGTCATTTAGAACAATTTGTGAGCCTACAATTTTTTTGTTATTCATTGCGGAGTTAAATGTTTCAATGGCCACTGAACTTTGTACCATGTCACGACTTACCCACCAAACTTCATGAAACGTCCCATTGGTCACTGAATTTTGCTCTGTCTCACTCCATCACTCACTAGATGGAATCCGTTAGTAGATTTGCTGACATGGAAAACGGAAAAATGAAGTGTTCAGTTAAATGTCTTCAAATGGTAAGTAAATTGCCAAATCAGCTCTACATCAACAATTACCAAACACGCTTTACCATAAATATGAAATCAAACATTCCTTCTTCCTCGCAAAAGATAAATTCATCAATTTGCAGTAAAACAAAAATCCCCAAATTGAGCCCCAAACCCTAAGGCTAACCCATCGAGTTTGCCCAAAATTTCAACCTGCGTCTGCACTGGAAATGTGATATAAATTGCACTGAATATTTGGTTTGTGGTTGAGTAACTGATATGGAGTTGGTTTTGGCCATTGGTGCACAATTTTTATTCTCGAGGAGTTCTGATAATGGGTATTTTAGGCTAGATGATCAGTACAATTGAGCATTTCAATTGAAGATTATCTTTGATGGCCGATATGGTTCAACAGGCTATTCATAAGTATTTATGCTGATATTGGCAAAGTTTGAAAGGGCCCTGTTTGTAGTTGGCGGCTTAGGATTTTTAGGTCCACAAATTTTGTTACATAGAAATTTGGAGCACAATTGGCCATTAAATTTGACTCCTAGTCGGGCAATCTCGACTGGGACGTGTAAAGAAGCAACGGTTGTAGAACAGGTAAAAAGAGAAAGAGGTTGACAAATTAACATGACATGTTGATTTGGACCTTTCAGATATAGAATGAACTGGCAATAATCTATTATTTCAGTAGGAATTTTGCTTTCAACATAAGAGAATTTACCTTCCAGCGTGTTAAGGAGGAAAGCATGGATTCAAGGCAAGCAATGAAAGAAGAGAGAACCGAGTCTACTGCTTGGGTGGCTATAGAAGAACTCTGTAAAATGAACAAAGAGAAGGCAACATGAAGAAATTGAGTTCGAGGACAAGCCTCAATATCAATGTAAACAAAGAAATTGAACCAAAGTACTGGAGTACTTGGAAGCGTATTAAAGCTAGTCTATGACATGTATAATTATGTCAAGGAATCACTTGCTTGAAAAAATAACTGGAATTCCAACAAGACTGATCAGGAAGTGCAAAATATAGCTGTCCATGAAGAATAGACGGATCACGAAGTTGCTGATACAGTAGCATAGAGGGGACGAGAGGATCTGATTATTATGTTTGGTGTTATTTTATGTGTTATTTGTCATTTCACCAGACATTATATGTCTTGTAAGTTCAAGTGATAATATCATTTATTATCTGGTTATGATTTCTTTAGTTTTTCGAAAGTATAATGAATGCAACATAATTCTGTAGCTATAAATGATTTTGGCATGTACATTGACAACATATTATGTATGGTTGATTGGGTATATATTTATTCATTTTGATGTCGTGTTTTGGCCTTTTTTCCCATTAAGTTTATGCTTTGTGACTGGATTTGGGGTCCCAAATTTTCATGTAATATGCTACCTTGAAGGATTTTACCAGAAGAGACAGGCTTTGACATGGCATCTGCTTAAACATTGCGCATATTACCTTGAAGGATTTAACCAGAAGAGACAGGCTTCGATAGGGGCATCTGCTTAAACATTGCGCATACACATGATTGGTAGTTCCCAGTAGTTCATCACTTGATCATTGAAAAACACAAGATTGGTAGTTCCCAATAGTTCTTGATCAAGGGATTTCTTAATTGGTAGGTATATGCAAGAACAAATATAATTCGTCTAATGCAAAGTGGAATGACAGTGAAAACAAAACCCATAACCAAATGGAAAACAATTCCCTATGTTAGTAGGATATGCATTCATTAATCACCTCTCTACATCTACACAAAATATCAATCCATCACCATTTAGGTAATTGGTTACTTAAGCCCGGAAATGGAGTAGCAATTGGAGCATTGAATATTTTCTGTGGTTGACGATGATGCAATAGCACAAGGATACATGAGAATCTAAATAATCCGTTGCAGTTATTTAACCACTATCCAAACTCAATCAATAAACATAACAATTCTATCGCATACATAATATCTGATTTAAACAATCAAACTAAGCTGTCGGTTATTCTTCAAGGGCTGTGTTTCTGCTGCTGTTGACAGCTTCAGGAGCCGTCATTCGCATGCCCAATCCTATCAAGTTCCACATTCTTTCAGTTGACCAAAAAAAAAAAAATACTGTTTCAATATCATCCTGAAAAGCTTCCTTACGAATAATTCTGTGTAGTTGAATTAGAGAAACATGTATTCCCCAAATTAACAACACCTCAATTGAATAATTGCCACTTCCATATGAACCAATCGACAAAGAGTGCTCTTTTATTCCACCAGTCACACTGTTGGTCTCAAATCCCACACCTCGACAGGAGAAGTTTCCACATTCCAAATAAACCCAAATCGTTTTAGACTCCGATTTTGAAGTGGTTTTGTAATTGAGGGTATCTTGCATCTCTACCCAATGGCTACGCATCTGGATATTGCGTGGGGAACATATTTTCATTGCTTCTGACTTCTGAGCTAGGAGGACAATGAAGACGGAGTAGAGGAACAAGAGATGACGAAGAAGAAGGCTCGTTTCGATTCACAGTTGGGCGTGTTTCGTTTTGCTAATGTGGAACTGATTTGGCACTTCATTCAACATTTAACTGGACACCTCATTTTTCTGTTTGCCATGTCAGCAGATCTACTAACGGATTCCATCCAGTGAGCGATGGAGTGAGACGAAGCAAAGTTCGATGGCCAATGGGACGCTTCATGAACTTCGGTGAGTAAGTCGTGACATAGTACAAAGTTCAGTAGCCATTGAAACATTTAACTCTTCATTGCGGTATTTAAATGCAACAACACTTCAATCCTAAGTTTTCTAAAAGAAAGAAGAGAGCAGTAAAATCGAGGAAAAGGGCTAATTACCTGTTAATTTATTGAGACTGCCTTCAATTGATTGGGAAGAAAAATTGATCTCAGAAATCTCCCTCAGCAAACCTTTCTGTTTTGATCGGCAATACAAAAATCCATTCAATTATTGCAGCATATTATTGGCCATTTTTAATTACGAAACAGAATATCCAAAGAATATGCTCTTTGCTTAGCCAACTCAGTCTAATAATATTGAATGATACAAAATCAATTCTTTTGTTTTTACTTTTCAATGTGGTGACTTGGTTAAAAATCGGTTAGTTTTTCTAACAAAATTTCCAACTTGAATTGTCCTTAAACCGATATCTGTCATGTCGGCAGATGACAGTAAATCATAAATAGCATTATTGGTAGAGCTGTCATTTAGAACCAATTTGTGAGCCTACAATTTCTTTGTTATTCATTGCTGTATTTAAATGCAACAACACTTCAATCCTAAGTTTTCTAAAAGAAAGAAGAGAGCAGTAAAATCGAGGGAAAGGGCAAATTACCTTTTAATTTATTGAGACTGCCTTCAATTGATTGGGAAGAAAATTGATCTCAGAAATCTCCCTCAGTAGCAAACCTTTCTGTTTTGAACGGCAATACAAAAATCCATTCAATTATTGCAGCATAGTATTGGCCATTTTTAACTACGAAACAGAATATCCAAAGAATATGCTCTTTGCTTAGCCAACTCAGTCTAATAATATTGAATGATACAAAATCAATTCTTTTTCAGCTGAGGATAATATTTAAATAAATAAATGTGTAATTTTGTTATGGTTCGGAATTTATAAAAATTTTTGCAACTTTTGTAACTGGGTGATTTTTAGAAATTCGTGAACTTTTAAGTTACTTATTGGAAATTTGTTAGAAATTAATAAAACTCTTCGAGAGACTGTAGATTTTTACTAAAGACTAGTCTTTGCCCGTGCACGATATTTTGAGCCAATGTTAACGTGTTAAATATTAAGAATTGACGAATGATATGTACATTGATTAAACAAAAGGTTGATGGATAAATGTAGATGTTATGGCTTTGTATTGTATTTCAGACAATGAATATAAGACACTAACTTTTCAAGAAGATTGCATATAAAATCCAAAAACCAATATGGCAAAGAAAGCTTTTTTAGCAGCGGTCCATCAATAATAGTGTGTAATAGTAATACAAGATCCAAACACATTTAAACAAATATAAAAGTGGTTAATGGGTAGACCTTAAAGCGAAAGTGGAGGGATAAAAAGATAACTCATCCATTTGGCATATCTCGCTTCATCTCTTCCATGGTAAGGAGACCTGCTGTAGACGAGACCTTAGGTGACAAACTTCGACATCGAGGAGAACAATCGTGAGGACTGAGACTCCTGATTCAATCATCAGCTTCATTCAAATATTAAGTTAAAAATAACAGTCAAGATTGTTCTTCCCTATGTCATTATGTGGATCTTGTTCTGAGAACAAATATGTATGTGAATATTTTACATGATATATTAACCTGTTAAGGAAGTTCTCCTTTCGTTTTTTCCTCCCACATTGGGTTGATATAGTTTCTCATCTTCTATTTTGTTTTCTCCCTCTACTATGCAAGAGTAGTGGCAAACCATTAGTTCTATAAACGATGTTAAAATTATAGACATTGTTATAGTGCCAAGAATAAACACGTGAAACTATTTAAAACAATCCTATATCCACAACACGCTCTGTTGTGTAACTAATTGTCTGCTGAAAAACATCCCATACAAACCTATTAGCTCTCTCCACTTTTGTACAATATAAAAATGGAGGAGCTATTTTCAAGATTATGAAAAATGATTTAGATATACCAAATATCATCTTAACTACATTTCTCGAAGAAGCATGACAAAAATTAAACAACTCCTTTACATTTTAAGGGTTACAACCTTGATCAAAAAAATGTTGAAGACGATAACGAACACCATCAAAAGGAACCAATAATTAAAGTCAATTTCAAAATCCACAATCTACCAAAAAAATATTTGCTTGAACATAAAATACTTATAGAATTATGAAGTAACTTATAATATGTGTAGTCATGATTATTTTGAATAACATCTTGCATAATCATGATGATTAATGATGAAAAGTGTTTTATATTAATGATTGTCAAACAAGGACGTAATATTATTTTGAACAGCATCTCACACATCCAAATCATCTACGACACACGTAAGTAAGAGCACAAAGTAATAAATCATAGCTCTCATGTCAATAAAAATATTTTTTCATGAAATATAAAAAATTAACTTACCTCAATTAGACTAACACATAACCTAAATACCAAAAATAATTAATAACATTTAGTAATGTTCAATAAAAACGACCAAATATTCCCAACATTACTCCACATCGATTGCTATAGCTATACATTCGATAATTGACGAAGATGATGAAACACCTTTATGATTTTTAACTAGAAATTCATCATAACGCCAATATTTTTGAATAAAATTCTGTAATCCTACAAAAGCTAATGCTAGCTCCATTTAGGTACAATATAAAAATGGAGGAGATATTTTGAAAATTGTGAACCATGATTTCAATATTCCAAATATCATCTTAACTACGTTCCTCAAGGAACCATGACGAAAATTAATCAACTCCTTTACATTTTGAGGGTCTCACGACCTTGATCAACAAAATCTTGAAGATGATAGCAAACATCTCTAAAAGGAACTAATAATTGAAGTCGATTTGAAAATCCACAATCTATCTAAAAATATTTACCTGAACATAAAATACTTATAGAGTACCAAGTAACTTATAATATGTATAATCATGATTAAAAGTAAAAACATAAAAAGACATAAAAAATAAATGGCATTAAAAAGTTATACCTTATGGCATTTAAGCTCATTTCTCCATGTTAAAGCATCACTTAACGCCTTGAAATTATATGCCAATTCCTTCCACCCACTTAGCGAGTATATAAATTCCAATTCAAAGTTACAAGTGGCTAGAACATTCTACGATATTATTTCGTGACGACTTCTATAGATAGTTCTATCACGTGAAATTAACATTGCTAAAAATTGGTTGTTGTCAATAGCTCCAAACACAATCCTGATACAACAAAATAATACAAATGAATAATGAGAACACTAATGATATTTAAAATAACAACAATTACATTAGTAACAATAATTTTGAACTTACTTTAAAATAAGGTAAAATCAGAAAAGAAAAAGTTGTCGACAAAACTTTTGTACGTGATGTATTGCATCATATAGTGAGTAATCGAAATAAATATGTTGAAATATATCGATAAAGTAATGATCGACCAAATAAAAGAGATACAATCCTAAATTAAATTTATTAGAGAAATCTAAAGTTTCTAAACCTATAGTACAAAAATCTAAAAGTATATAGTTATGTGAAAAAAAAGAAGAAGAGTAAAGTCGTAATATAAAATGTATGACTCTTTACATAATGAATTTCTCGCAGACTTGTATAAATAAATAAGTTATCATGTGGTGGATGTAATAACAAATATCTACTTTATTAACGTGACAATACATAAAATTTGATATGCATATAATAAATATGATTATAGTGAATATATCTTATATAAATTTAATACTATTCTTGAAGGATTTAATAAACTTGAAGCATAATTCAAATGATTCTATCCCGAAGGAAAGTTAATAGATGTTGTACTCTTTCTCCCTTGACCAAGGTTCTGTCCCATTGAGTTTTCTTGTCTAGTCTTTTAACGAAACAACTTTTGTAGCGTATTCAAAATAATAATGTACTATTTTTCCTTCATTAAGATTTTTCTCATAAGATTTTTCCTAATAAGGTTTTAATGATGCATATTTTTTATGTAACGAATGTCCATAATATACAAGAGCTATATTTTGAATTATCATGTCATTACATTTATCAAATGTTTATAAGTATCTCATATGAAGACAGTGTTATTTGAAAACATTAACATGGACATGGATCGTTTGATACAAGAATTGAAATCAAGGGAAGTAGTTGCACTCATTTTTTTTTTTTTTTTTTTACCTTTAATCAAAATTTATCCCATTGGGTTTTCTTTACAAGGTTTTTTAACAAGGCGGCATTTTATTACGCCAAATTATATTTATTTTGTTTCATTTGTTGGCATTTTGTTCATCGAATTTTTGTCAAACAATATTTTAATAAGATAGTTATTGTTTAAATAGTCATTCAAGGAGAGTGCTGTAAATATAGTAGTATTTGTGAATGACTTTTATGCCCCTGGAGCCCTAGTCATTTTTATTATTGAATACCTTGTAATCCTAGTTCTTCCATATAAATATAGGGTTTTGGTTCTTAATAAAATACGCAATTCTATTGATTATCTCTTTTATTCTTTTTTTTTCTCTATTTTATAACAATTAATATATTTTAAGGTCAATATCGAGTCAAAAGAGTTAGTAGTCTACAAAAATTCTTTGGTGTGGGATTATCTCTCTTGATGAAGATCAAGAAAAAATTATTCACTAATACACGAAACTATCCATTATGGGAGGAGTTTTATCACAAGCGGGAAAGCAAAGATGACAAAGATATTCTTGAATATTGAAAAGATAAGTTTGTATCTTAAATTAGTAGTCAACTGAAATTTTAATGAATTTTAAAAGATTATAAAGTTTAATGAATGTCTTGAATTTGAATAAATTTTCATGTAATCTATAAGAATCTCACTAAAATTGGTGAATTTTCAAAAGAGTTTTTTTTATGCATATTTTTAAACATAAAATTCATCCAAATCTTTTGAAATTCATTTATTAAAAAAAATCCTTATAAATTCACAAATTATTGAAGATATCTAAATTTTAAACAATATGATTGAAAATTCTCATTAAAATCTTAGTTGGAGATACCTAGATTTCAATATAAAATATTAAATTCTCGATTGGCGATACTTGAATAGAAGGACTTTTAAAAGGGTAATTATATTTACACCACAATTTTATTTCTTGTATTTTATAACAGTTTTATGTCCAAAAGTTCCTTGAAATGGCGTAAAATGACTTAATTTTCCATCATATAAATAAATAAATAAAAGTGTGAAAAATACATTTTTCCCTTATTTCAAAGCAAGAAAATAAAATACTTTGATATAAATCATCATCAAAGACAAGACGTATTATTAATGAAAGGTTAAAGATAAAAATTTGACGAAAAATTTAAGAAAATAATTACTACAATGAGCAAAGATTGAAGAGTTTAACTATAATTAAAATATGGTGTAATAAAAAAAACATTTTTAAAATTCATTAAAATTTCAATTGATGACACCCCTATAATATCATTTATGATCTTAATTGGATTTTAAATATATTTTTTCTAATTAGGAAAAAAAATGATTTTAGAATTAAAAAGTTCATAAGGATATATTTGAACAAAGAATTTCTCGAATGTTGCAATATGCTGAGATTTTTTTGTGTGAGTCAAAATTATTTGTAATCTTTCCATATCTCGATATCATTCCTTATTGATACGCATATAATTTGTTTGTATAATTAGTATTTTTTTTTATTGTAATTCAGACTCACATTTTTATAAAAATTTACTTAGTCTATGATTCTTGATTTTAAACTTAAAATTCTTCAAAATGTTTGAAGAACAACTTTCGTAATTTTCGAGAGAAGATGATTTGTAGCTTTGAAGAGACTTCAACAAATTTAAACTAATAAGAAGAGTAGTGCTCGCTGAACAAGACTAAGAAATAATTCTATACAACGGCAACAATATTAAAGAACGAGTCTTTATTGGCGTGACCCCATGGATTACCGTGTGTAATATCCTCTATAAAAATAATACAATTTAGCATTGATTGATCATACCTGATAAGTTCAATTAAATTATTCATGTAATATTACCTTTACGCGAATGAGTTTTGATGGATGTCCAGAATCATTTTAACATACGTTTTCCATATCCTTGAGGTGGATCCCACCTCATTAAAAAATGACCCCAAAAATCCCCACTCCACCCATGTTTGTTTGTGTTCTGTATGGGTTCTATAGAACCTGGTACCCAAGCATGGCTCTAAGTGAATGGAACGCTTGAGAGTTGAGTGGTGATTTCCTGAGCCGTTCTCTTCAAAGTTGAGTGGTGACTTCTCGTGGCTCTGCCAAGATTGGCCATAGTCATACAGTCATACTATCTTTTCATTTCATGTCCGGACAGCTTCTCTTCTAGTACAATAATGACCTTCAATAGTAGAGACGAGGTGGGTCCTAGGAAATCTAGAAAAAATTACTGACAATTATTGATAATTATGTCTAAACACTGGCCACCTTTCAATTTTAAAGATCGTAGTTACAAATTTCTCTAGTATAAGTAGGCTTCAAAAGGACGGCTCGTCTTTCATTCTTGAATAAACATATGGATAGTCCTTAAAGACAAAGTTACTGACTGCTAACTAAAATGTCGGAGATTGAGACGACGGAGTTTCTGAAACCAGGGGTTAATTACTGTCTTTAATTATGCTTTATGTTTAAATTCATCTGTTTTTGCTTTTCTTTTATTCTCATAAAGATTGATACTTGAACGTAAACTACTTTTTTTAGATTGAAATTTCAACTTTTTATTCTGACATTTTTGACATTCTGATTATTTCAGACATCGGAGATTCAGATGACGGAGGTTCAGCAGCCAAAGGTTAATATCCGTCTTTATGATTTTTTTTTTTCCTTAATAAGATTTTGATTCTTGAATGCAAACTACCTTTTTTCAGATTGAAAAAGTTACTTTCAACTTTTCCTTCCGACTTTAGCTTCTGATTATTCGTAGAATCACAATCTCACTTTTCACTTTTCTACGAGGGAATTCATTCTTGTTTCTTCTATGAATCTTAAAGCAGGAAATGGAAGAATTATGTGTTCTTGTTGATAAATGTATATGGTTCAGCATATTTTGCCTGTTTTAAATAAAATTTGATGTCAAAAATTATACTTGTGAGAACAAAATTTGGCGACTGTCCTAATTTTGATTATTTTTTGGTGTTTTGTTATGCTATTAACAGAAAATTGTGTTGAGCATGAAATTTTTTAATGAAGAACACCAGGAAAAGGCGTTCGAAAAGGTTGCTAGCATCCCAGGTACTGTACTCGCATATATTCAATAAGTTGAACAAGACAATTAAAGAAAAAAAAATGATCTAAAATCTTAGAGTCGAGTCCTTTATCAAACATGTTCTACAAATAAAAATATTTAACTGTTTCGTTGATTTGAAGAAAACCCATATCTTGAAACATTACAAAATGTAATGAATATTTTTCTTGAATTTTCAGGGATAAAAAAGTTGGATGTAGATCGAAATGATAATACTGTGACAATAATCACGAACATTGATCCGTCATTGATCGCAGACAAAGTGGGAAAATACTGCCTTACAAGAATATTAAGAGACGAACATGTATAAGAGCCTAATAAATAAATAAAAATCAAGAAGTGCATTTTTTTAATTGAATAATGCTATGTAACCCCATTAGAATTGCAATTCCAATTTAGGTAGCGTCAGATGATAGGTTAAATGAAATGTGAAATTAAATGAATTATTTAATTTTACTATCAATTAATGAGAGGTTAAATGAAATGTGAAATCAAACGAGTTATTAAATTCTACTATCAATTAATGCCACATTAACGTCACCTAAAATGAGGTTGGAATCCTAGTGAGGCTAAATAGCATTACTCTTTTTTATTATAACAGAATGATTTTAAAGCTTTAAACCTTCATTAATAAGTCTTTAATATTTATTTTATTTTTCTTTGGTAAGTGTTTTAAATGGAAGTTATTTTTAATTTACATGAATGTTATAAATATCATGTTATGTTAACAATAGACTCCCATATCCATATTCAACTATACAAGTTGATTAAGTCTATTTGAGCTCCAATTTTTTTATTTTTTTTATTTTTGCCAAAAATGCATTTTGCATTAATTATTTGATGGAAAATGTATGGCTAAAAAATTAGAAAAAAATTTGAGTTTGGGTGAAATATTATTTTATTAAAGAACATGTAGTTAAAAATAAAAGAGAAAAATGTATTTTAAAAATAATGGAGACAAGTTTTATTTTATATACTTTATATATAACCCCTATTTGGTAGAGATTAAAATCTAAATTTTAATACAATACAGTATTAAAAATTAATTTTAACCATGCATTTCGAGAGATCCAAAACTCTTCAACAACATATTTCATCAAATTTTATCAAATTTACTAAAGGACTGATTTTAATCCCATCAAACAACAACTTAGACAATTCTCCAGGTGAAAAGACTTTTATCTCGAAGATATATCGACTCTTGAGTTGCTAATACCTTTACAAGTGTGACCAAGTTGCCACGGAAGTGAAGGAGAATTATGAGAAGCAAGGAGCATTACTTACAGAACTCACTTTACTGCATTGAACCTCAAGTATGATTAAGTTGCTATAGAAGTATCGAATACTAGAGAGTCGGTGACCAATACTATTATTAATTGGCAACTAAAGAAAAAAAAAAAAAAAAAAGAGGAAAAAAAAAAAAAAAAAAAAAAAAACAGGCAATAGCAATACATGCGATCACCATTTGATGGTTCGTGCATGAATACCAAAAAATTGTAAAGTTAAACCCATATTCGTTGATTTTTGAGAAAATATTGTTTCCCTTTTTCTATGCATTTTTTGATACTATTTCTACCTTTATGAATATTATTAGGATCTTGATATGTCCCCTATATATAGTTGGCTTTTCTTTACAAGTTAAACAAATTACACAAGTCAACTAATATTGTCAACACAATATTCTTTGTACTCTTTCTCTAGTATTAATAAATTCTCTATTCTTCTGTCAAATTTCTTGTGTTCTTTTGTGTTCTGATTGTTATTTCATATTTTGTTATGTATCTCGCTTACTATTAACAATAGGTATTGTTCATTGCATATATAATTCTTGTTAATTCCCTAATAAGTGGTGACAAAGCCAAGTTTATTGTTTTTCGTGAGTTTTTTATTTCTTTTTGGGATGGCAATTTTGAAATATAATATGTCATTTTTGGATCGCAATACAAGATTCTCGTTGTGGCAGATGAAGATGCAAACAGTTCTTGATTAAATGGATTTGGACAACCCTTGTTGGGATTTGACAAGATACTCTAAATTAGTCGTTGGAAGAGAAATAACGTAAGGATCAAAAGGTCCTTTCACAAATTCATCTTTAACTTTTGAATTACATTCTTCGGGACGTCTTGAAGGAGAAAACCTCAACTACTTTATGATTGAAGTTGACGCAATTGTGAATGACTAAGAGTCTGACTAGCAAATCGCACTTGAAGCAGCGTTTGTATTCTCATCCCATGACAAAATATGAATCTTTGAAAGATTACATGGCAATTTTTAAAGAAATCATCGCTGATTAAAAGACCTTGGAGGTTAAGTACAATGAAAAAGATTTGGCCTTGATTTTATTGTGTTCGTTATCCGCTTTATTTATGTCTTTAGAGATATGGTTTTATATATTTGAGATAATTTCACCATTGAAAATGTGTATGATGCAAGTTCTCAAGATAGAAGATGAAGCATCTTGTTGGATACGAAGCTCATGGAGAAGGTCTTGTAGTTCTTAGTGGTTATGGAAGGGGAAGATCGAAGTCTAATTTCAGTAACCAAGTTTGTAATTATTGTTAGAAGAGGGGCACATTAAGAAGGATTGCTACGAGTCGTGGAATAAAAAAAATTGACTGCAAACTATAAGGAAAAGCAATTAGATACTTCACGTAAAGCCGATGTTGCAAAGAATTGTTTAAAAGATGGAATTTTTTTTGTTATTTCTAATGATGATTCAAAATCTAACGAGGATTGAAGTTTTCATACAATTTACACTTTTCACGTGTGTCCCAATCGAAATTTGTTTTCAACATATGAAAAAGTTTTCAAAGGTATTGTGGTGATCGATAATAACACACATTATCGGATAGCTGGTATTGGAAGAGTCGGATTTAAGATGATTGATGGGACGGTCAAAAGACTTCATATAGTGAGACACGCTCTAGATTTGAAGAAAAATCATATCTCCTTGATTACTCTTGATTCAAAATGATACAAGTTCATTAGTGAAGGTGGAGTCCTAAAGGTTTGTAAAGGTGCTCGTATTATGTTGGAGGGGCAGCTAAAGTCCCAATTGTATATCTTTGAGTATTGTGCAAAATCTTTAAAAATCAATTGACAAATGTTTAGTACCCCAATCGAAATTTGTTTTCAACATATGAAAAAGTTTTCAAAGGTTTTGTGGTGATCGATAATAACACACATTATCGGATAACTGGTATTGGAAGAGTCAGATTTAAGATGATTGATGGGACGGTCAAAAGACTTCATATAGTGAGACACGTTCTAGATTTGAAGAAAAATCATATCTCCTTGATTACTCTTGATTCAAAATGATACAAGTTCATTAGTGAAGGTGGAGTCCTAAAGGTTTGTAAAGGTGCTCGTATTATGTTGGAGGGGCAGCTAAAGTCCCAATTGTATATCTTTGAGTATTGTGCAAAATCTTTAAAAATCAATTGACAAATGTTTAGTACCTTGGTAGATATTCAGTGCGGTACAGCACGCTTGGAGTTTGGTTTGGAATTCGTGTTGAAGAATACATCTCAGTTGAGTTCAGGAGTTATCGATAATGCCATCTTGCTAGCTTCACCAGTAGTGCTATTGTATTCAATCGCTAAAGACAAACCCATAAGAAATATTAGACCTCCACATAGGTATGGGAAAGCTGATTTAGTTGTGTATACTTTAACTATGGTTGAAGGCGTTGAGTCTAGCGAAAAAACCTTCCACCAAAACATTTTGTAGTGATGATTCTGTTTCAGAGCATGGTGCTGTCTTGTATGACAATTTTTTTAAATTTATTTTGTGATTTTTTGGCTCGTGTCAATAATTTGAGCAAATTTTGGGAACCCGAGGTAATTATTTTGAGTAGTACTTGAATTTATTTATTTTAGTTGAATTTTGTAGAAGTGGAGAATTTTGGTTGTTGGAGAATTTGGTTAATATTCTTGTTAAAGAGTTAGATTTTGCCTTGTAGTGAAATTTGTCTCCATGTGGAGAATTTTTTAAGTTTGATTCATTGCATAGAATTTAGTTCAAGTTAGAGATTTGTTAAAGTTTGACCCAAATTTGGTTGGATTTTTGAGAAAATATTGTTTCATCGATTCTACTCATTTTTGGTACTATTTTCATCTTTAAGAATATCGTGAGAATTCTCATATGTTCCTTATATATACTTGACTCTTCTTTACAAGTTAGATAATATTGCAAATACAATATTCATCACATTCTTTCTGCATTATTATTAAATTATCCATTCCTCTTCAAGTTTTCTTGTGTTCTCTTATGTTTTGATCATTACTTCATATTTCTCACTTGTGATAACAAGTGGTATCATTCAATGCATACATAATTTTTGTTAATTCCCCAACAAAACAACCAAATAATTGTAGAAAACTCTCTATGCAAACAAATACATGTGCTTGCTGGGGGTGCAAATCAAGGTCCAAAAATGTACATCGAGCCTTGAATTTGTGTGCAGATGCAACTTGGGTACACGAATGTCGAACCGAATAAAGCAAAATTTGGCCCGTTAGGAGTGCTCACGTTCTGCTATTATTTTGTTTTCTCCAATTGATGTTTTAGTTTCTGAAATTGTTGAAACTCCAATTGTTATTGATATTACAGTATTAAGTTAATGGCATGTTTATGAATGAGTTTACTCACCATTCATGCGGCCAAGTATATAACTAAGCTCGATTTTCCATTATTCCACACTAGAAAAATTCCATACTCGCATGATTTTCAGTTTAGCCAGGTCCGAAAATCTTCATTTCCATCTGTCTTGGTGGCACTATTATAATACAAATTCATTTCACCAAAGTAGAAACTAAAGTGTTCAGACTCTACTGATTTTTCGTTGCATCATGGGGGACAGATTCTTGTACGGTGCCTCAAACACTTACGTGAGAGGACGAATTTGTTTTAAAGAAATTATGTAATACACAGGTTTCAATTTGCAAATCCATTTCATGTCTGAAATTGAAATATTGTTGCAGATTTGGTTCCATTTCCCATTCAACTTTCGTCCATAAAATTATTGTTATATTTTGCAATTTTAATAAAATTACATGTTTATGTTTCTTACTGTAATTAATAAAACTAAATTATTCTGCAATTTTGGCTAACAGAAAGTCTTTGGTTAGGATGGTTATTATTGATAAATTGGCTTTTCCTCTGTGGAAGATGTGGGTTTTAATGAATTTGTGTGTTTGCTGTAGATTTGAGGTTCCTTATTGAAGAACACTTACAAGAAATATGCTTCATCTCTACCAAGAAATAAATGAATAGGCAAGGGTTGAATTTATCAATGATAGAGAAAGAATTTCTTTAACCACTAAT